TTAGAAATAGGCCAAGGTTTGATTCTTGATTGATCTTTTCTCCTTTTCCTTACAATTAGCAAGAAATCGAGGTCAAGGAAAACTATTGAGGGTACTGTAGCTATTGTAGTGTACTGTAGCTATTGCAGTGTACTGTAGCTATTGTAGTGTATTCTAGCTATTGCAGTGTACTAGTAGATATTCAGCACTTACCACAGAGCTCTTGGTGCTCCCCAAAAGAGATGCGAGAGATTGATGAGACTTGATGAGATGATGATACAGAGACAATAGTGACGGACGATTCCTTTCAGAATTGAACTCGTCAAAACGACACGAATGGCTGCGATTCCACCGATTAGGCCGAGAAGACCGAGCTGAAGTTTGAACTTTATTACCCTGGCAGCAATGGGATTTCTGATGGTGTGGCAGAGCGTAGAGCGGAATGGGAGCGCAGAGCGGGATGGCAGAGCGTAGAGCGGGATGGCAGCGGCGGGGGGGGGATGGCAGAGCGCAGAGCGGGATGGCAGAGCGCAGAGCGGGATGGCAGAGCGCAGAGCGGGATGGCAGAGCGCAGAGCGGGATGGCAGAGCGCAGAGCGGGATGGCAGAGCGCTGAGCGGGATGGCAGAGCGCAGAGGGGATGGCAAGAGCGCTTAGTCGGGATGGCCGAGCAGAAGAGCGGGATGGCAAAGCGAGAATTTTCGGAGATCAGGCAGAGCGCAGAGCGGGATGGCAGAGCGCTCACCTGGTAAGCGAGAGGTCACGGGTTCGACTCCCGGCTCCGTCCAGCCCCAACCCATAAAACAATCTTGTCCAACTATGAGATAAATTGGATGGTTTTCTGTTTCATAGCTAACCTTGGTTGGCAAATGTTCTGGGGCTTTAGTTCTGGGGCTTTTAAAGAAAACAAAAGTTCTAACAGTTTCAAATCTTTGCCTTATAAAAGTATTAAACTTTTTATGGAAAAATGACAAACTTCAGTGATGGAATTTGGTGATTTCAAAGGAATTTTGAACAAAACACACTTACAATGATGATCGTCACAATTTGAATATCCGTTTCCGACATCTTCTTGTTTTTCGAGTAGAGTTGTAGGGGGGAAATTGAGAATTCGAGCAAATGAGGGTTTTCGTGATTGTAAATCGTAGGGAATCTAATGAATTTCACCTGTCCCGGGGGGGAAATTTTACAGCAAAAAGTTTTATTTTTCAAGGAAAAATGGAGAGAATTGGCCCACAGTAATTGGGGATTTTTTTGTTTTCGGAAATTTTTGAATAAAGCTGTTCGGTGAGGATGGTCGTTGGGATGGTCGGTGATGATTGTAAAGCAAAAAAAGTGCACCGGGAAACTAGACGCTTTTAATTGATGGCTCTTTTAACCTTTGCTTCCAAAAATCGGTGATTTTCCTATTTTTTGACGGTTGATGAGGGAAATTCCAAGAAAACGAATGTACGAGTCAAATTTTAGGGTATGGAATGTGTTTTTGTGTGTAGTTAAGACAGCCAGTGACGTGTTTTTGCCAATTTTAAAGGCTTATCGTATAGAAAAGTGACAAAAGCCAATCAAAAGTGAGCAAAAATGCTCAACAACAGGCAGAAATTCGAAAAAGCACTAAATTACTAATCGTTGTCTGAAGTTATTGTTATCGTATAATATTTAAAATCCAAACAAGCCTCCAGCTCAAGAAGATTGCCGGCTTTACCTATTCTAACTTTGCAGAGTGCTCAATTTTACAGTAACATCATGAAACACATGTGTTTATTTACGCAAACAGCAAAGGATCGATTTATTCCCGGGAAAATGATAGCGCAAAAGGTTTTGGAATCGTTTCATCCATCATTTGAGAGGAATCGCCCAGAAAAGCGTTTGTAAAGAGGACGAAAAGAGACGATTTGCGATGAGAAGAGAAGTCGTTTATTTGGCCTTCCCCGGCAGAATCACTTCGCCACTTTGTGCGCCCGCCTTGAATGGAGCCTATGGATCGGTCTCCTCATCGGGCACCTAAACATTGCAAATTAGTGACGTGGAAAGTGGAAAGTTGACAAGATACAGAAAACACTAAGCCTACTCCAAATTTAAACCAAACAAAAGACAAATGCTCACCTCAGCCCATTGCACGACGAATTTGTCCTCCTTTGGCGATCCTTCGAGACGCAAGATTTGCAGTGATTGCTGTTGCTTGGCCGCCACAAATCCGTACACCGGTCGCACTCGATAATGGTCATTGTCCGAGGATTTCACCTAAAAAAAGATTAACTGATTTAAAAGCCAGTCTAACATAATGACAACTTTAACAATGAAAAGAATTTGGCAGAATATCAGCTCTTACTTACTTAAGTGAATGAAGAATTAAGTTCTATAGTTAACTCAAACTAGTCCAAACTAGCAAATACTAGTGCCAAAAGAAGTAAATAAACAAAAGAACCAAAACTTTAAAAGAAACAAGAAACAAATACCTTGAAAGCGAGGCGGGTGTCAGCGAGTGAGTGAATTTGGAAGATGATCTCTCCACCAGCAGCCGGGAAAATGCGTGTTGGGGGTTCAATGTTGGCGATCCTTCGAGGCGCAAGATTTGCAGTGATTGCTGTTGCTTGGCCGCCAAAAATCCGTACACCGGTCGCACTCGATAATGGTCGTTGTCCGAGGATTTCACCTAAAAAAACAAAAGATTAACGGTTTTAAAAGCTAGTCTAACATAATGACAACTTTAACAATGAAAAGAATTTGGCAGAATATCAGCTTTTAATCAAGTGAGGAATCAAGAATTAAGTTCTATAGCTAGCTTAAACTAGTCCAAACTAGCAAATACTAGTGCCAAAAGTAAATAAATAAATAAAGTAAAAGAAGTAACTAAACAAAAGAACCAAAACTTTAAAAGAAAGTAAGTGTTGCTATTTTCATTGATCATTTTAGAAACAAACGGTTTGTTTGATTGAAAAGTCTTATCTTTTTTCTACAAAATGCTTCTCAAGTGTTGTAAAAAAGCGCTTGTTTTGAGAAATTTCAAGAGGCAAGCAGATAATTTGTCGAAATTAATAGATCCGGCTATGGGATTTGATCCTTTTCTTCTAAAGAAACCTATTTTTGTGTAAATAGAAAATAGCTAGAACATAAAAAGTTAAGAGTATAGCAAAGTTTTAGAAAAATTCGTCGGACCGTTTTCATTATTTTTCTCTTCCAAGAATTTATTTGCGAATTTGGATTATAGCGAGCAAAAATTTACTTCCAAATCCCTAAAATTAAACACTTAACGCTTTTTTTAGCGATTCAACGTTTGTTTGGAGAAAGCTAATAAAAAAAATGAGCAAAGGGATACCAGCAAATAGTACTCAACCTAATAGAACAAAACCAGCTTTCATTTGAAAACAAAAATCTCAGAAAAAAGTCACTCAACCAAATCAACTCACCCATTCAGCTGTTTTAAAAGCTAGTCTAACATAATGACAACTTTAACAATGAAAAGAATTTAGCAGAATATCAGCTCTTAATCAAGTGATGAAGCAAGAATTAAGTTCTATAGTTAGCTTAAACTAGTCCAAACTAGCAAATACTAGTGCCAAAAGAAGTAAATAAACAAAAGAGCCAAAAGTTTAAAAGGAAAAAGAAACAAATACCTTGAAAGCGAGGCGGATGTCAGCGAGTGAGTGAATTTGGAAGGTGATCTCTCCAACAGCAGCCGGGAAAATGCCTGTTGGGCGTTCAATGTTGGCGGCCCTTCGAGACGCAAGATTTGCAGTGATTGCTGTTGCTTGGCCGCCACAAATCCGTACACCGGTCGTTGTCCGAGGATTTCACCTAAAAAAACAAAAGATTAACGGTTTTAAAAGCTAGCCTAACATAACGAAAACTTTAACAATGAAAAGAATTTGGCAGAATATCAGCTCTTAATCAAATGATGAATCAAGAATTAAGTTCTATAGTTAACTTAAACTAGTCCAAACTAGCAAATACTAGTGCCAGAAGAAGTAAATAAACAAAGGAACCAAAAGAAACAAAAGAACCAAGAAACAAATACCTTGAAAGCGAGGCGGATATCAGCGAGTGAGTGAATTTGGAAGATGATCTCTCCACCAGCAGCCGGGAAAATCCCTGTTGAGGGTTGAATGTTGAGCGCCATTTAATCGATTTGATCCGATTCGGAGAGAAAAGCCGAGAGGAATTATACTTTTCCCGAAATTCGCCACAAATCCGTACACCGGTCGCACTCGATAATGATCGTTGTCCGTGGATTTCACCTAAAAAAACAAAAGATTAACGGTTTTAAAAGCTAGTCTAACATAATGAAAACTTTAACAATGAAAAGAATTTAGCAGAATATCAGCTCTTAATCAAGTGATGAAGCAAGAATTAAGTTCTATAGCTAGCTTAAACTAGTCCAAACTAGCAAATACTAGTGCCAAAAGAAATAAATAAACAAAAGAACCAAAAGAACCAAAAGAACCAAAACTTTAAAAGAAGCAAGAAAAAAATAACTTGAAAGCGAGGCGAGTGAGTGAATTTGGAAGATGATCTCTCCACCAGCAGCCGGGAAAATGCCTGTTGAGGGTTGAATGTTGAGCGCCATTCAATCGATTTGATCCGATTCGGAGAGAAAAGCCGAGAGAAATTGTACTTTTCCCGAAATTCGCTGAGTTTTATTTCAAAAGTTAAATAGAAATTCAGGGAAAATGAGAAAGAAATGCAAATTTTGCAATGAAATTATTTCCATTCTTCCATTCGGGTTTCTTTCTTGAGTAAGACGACTAAGGATACCCAAAAAGTGTCGCAAAAGTGATCTTTGGTTATTCAGAGAAGGCTAAAGTCTAGCCGATCTTTCGTGTCACAATGCACAGTGTCCAAAATTGGAGTGAAACCTTTTGCTCTCCTTTTTGCTCTCTTTTCCGCGTAGAATTTAGTCTCGAGAATTTTTGGGAGGCATTGTGAGCAATTTGATAAGGAAAAATGCGATAAATACTCATCACCTCAACTGAAATATTCTTTACTTGCCATTCTTGTTTTTACTGAGGCGAGTCGGCTTCAGTGATGGCCACAAGGAGGAAAACTACGGGAAATGGTTGGTTTGGATTGGGATTTTTTTAGGAAATTGAATGTTTTGCTAAATGCTACCGGAATTCTGTCTAAATCTTCATACAGTTGTTTAATTTCTTAGAATCTACGTTATCTATCCTTAAATATCTATCCTTAGTTGATTAGTTAATGTTAATTGGCTTAGTACTTGGCTACTTGGCTATAACTACTTACTAGAACTCGAGTTACTAGAAATCGAGTAGCTAGATTAGAGTTAAGTTAAATTAGAGTGATTCTTTTGTTTCCAGAATCCTCATTGTCTAAACGAGACGACGATGCTCCGCTAGCTCCTACCGAGCCGACTACTTGGGGTGGAATTGCGAGGGTAAGGAAATGTTTTCATGTAAATTAAGTTTAAAAGCTAAAATCAAATGCTTCCCGCTTCTTTCTAGTGTACTTTGGGTTAATAATTGGAAACACACCCTTTCTGGCACATTCAATACCTTAAAAATCAGATTTTCTTGAACATCCATATGCGTTTTGAATTAGAGCCTTTATTTTAGTTTTACAATCTGATAAACCAGGGTTATAAGCCGGAAAAGACGGGGAGGAATAGACGGGGATATAGCTCAGTGGTAGAGCGCTCGCTTTGCATGCGAGAAGTCCAGGGTTCGATCCCCTGTATCTCCAGAGTTTTGCTTTTTTTTGCTAAAATATAGCTAGCTTAAACTGTACGCGATTGTTCACGTAAATCTATCCCTAAAAACCAGCCCCATTCACATGGGGATATAGCTCAGTGGTAGAGCGCTCGCTTTGCATGCGAGAAGTCCAGGGTTCGATCCCCTGTATCTCCAAAGTTTTGTTTTTTTTTGCTGAAAACTGTAAACTCAAATTTTCCACATAAATCTATTCCAGGCATGGCCAAAGACGACATTTTGCATTGTGTCAAACGAGTTCTGCGAGCGCTTTTCTTTCTATGGGATGAGAAGTGAGGATTTTTCTTCGGTTACATAAAAACTATAGAACTAATAGCCAAAATTATTTAGATATTAGATTACTTTCAAAGCCTGGTCAACAAAAAAACAAGTTAAAAACCTCGTGACTCTTTCATTCTTTTAGTGGAGTCATAAAAAAGCCTATCAAAATTTTGCGAGAGCTGAAAAATGAGGGAAATTTGAAGTGAAAAGAAATAAGGGTTAAAAAGGGGTAAACAAAGCATTTCTGGCGAAGTTTCCCGGATAAAATGAATAGTTTTTTTGCAGTAGAAAGAGTTTGTTGTTTGTTGTGCAGTAGAAAGCAGTAGAAAGAGTTTGTTGTGCAGTAGAGAGCAGTAGGAAGAGTTTGTTGTGCAGTAGAGAGCAGTAGGAAGAGTTTGTTGTGCAGTAGAGAGCAGTAGGAAGAGTTTGTTGTGCAGTAGAGAGCAGTAGAAGAGTTTGTTGTGCAGTAGAGAGCAGTAGGAAGAGTTTGTTGTGCAGTAGAGAGCAATAGAAAGATTCAATGCAGTAGAAAGAGTTTGTTTAGAGCTTTAAGCACAAAGTATGTTTAAAACTTTTCAGCTGTGCTCACTTTTTATCTCCTAAATGTACTCAAATTCTCAAACGATCAATCAACGATTTTCTTCAATTCATTCAACGTTCTCTGCTATTCGACACCAATTCTTGGATCGATTATCGCTGATGGATATGTTGGAAAATTTTGGTAATTTCTTATAGAGCCTTGCAACCGAAAGCCTTGCAATCAAATGGTCAAGAGCTTTGCTTTAGTTTTTCGCATTTCATACTTTTAAGCCTAAAAAGGCCCTTACAATGCCTTGTAAGCCTTGTAAGCCTAAGCCGAAGCCGAAAACCCAGCTACTATAACTCTACAGTAACTCAGCTTTGGCTACAGTAACTCAATTAGCTTCTTAAGATTACTAAACTTGAAACAAGCTTGAGAAAAGTCAAGCAAAGTCAAGCAAAGTCTAGCAAAGTCAAGCAAAATCAAGCAAAGTTAACTCAAAGACTGTCGCTGATGGATATGTTGGAAAATTTTGGTAATTTCTTAGAGCTTTCTTTCTCAGAGCCTTATTGCAATCGAATCGTCAAAAGCTTTGCTTTAGTTTTTCTTATTTGTAGCTTTGTGATCTTTCTCAGAGCCTAAGCCTAAGCCTAACTCAGCTACAGAAGCTCAAGGTTTAGTAATCTTAAGAAGCTAATTTTACGGTATCATTTCAAAGTCAAGCAAGACAAAATGCAAGCAAAGCTAGTGCGGCGAAGCGGGAACATTCGGGTGGGCGGGCTATGATTTCAGTTCGGTATTATTTCAAATTCAATGGAGTTAAGATGGGTGGGCTAATAAAGCCAGGTAAAGCGAAAGAAAAATGATCAAATCAAGGTAAGATCATGCTTCTGGTATTGCTTTGAGTTAACTTTTAACTTTTCTTGACTTTTCTTGACTTTTCTCAAGCTTGTTTCAAGTTTAGTAATCTTAAAAAGAAAAAAAAAGAAATCTTCTCGCAGAACTCGTTTGACACAATGCAAAATGTCGTCTTTCGCCATGCCTGGAATAGATTTACGTGGAAAATTTGAGTTTACAGTTTTCAGCAAAAAAGGGAAAAATTTGGAGATACAGGGGATCGAACCCTGGACTTCTCGCATGCAAAGCGAGCGCTCTACCACTGAGCTATATCCCCCATCTGATCAGCGGTGGCTTTTAGGGATAGATTTAGCTGGAGAGCCCGAGTTTACCGTTTAAGCTATCAAAACGAAAGAAAAAGCAAAAATCTGGAGATACAGGGGATCGAACCCTGGACTTCTCGCATGCAAAGCGAGCGCTCTACCACTGAGCTATATCCCCATCTGATCAGCGGTGGTTTTTAGGGATAGATTTACCTGAACAATCGTGGACAGTTTAAGCTAGCTATCCTTTAGCTTAAAAGCAAAAGTTTTGGAGATACAGGGGATTGAACCCTGGACTTCTCGAGGAACTCAATAGGAACTAGAAAGGAGCTAGAAAGGAACTATAAAGGAACTATAAAGGAACTATAAAGAAACTAGAAAGGAACTAAATAAGTTCCTTAAAAGTAAATAGTTTTTCTTGTTTCTTTGTTTCTTGTTTTGTCTTAAAAATCAATTGTTAAAGTTTTTGAGTTGATTTCTATTGTTAAAATCTTGATTGCAAGAAGCCATTTAGTACACTATAAGAAAAAAAGTAAAACTAATCAGATGAAATCAGATTTTGACAAACTAATCAATAGTGATCCTCTCTTTGCAAAAAGCAGAGGCCAGGACATAGCCGATAATCGAATCCGGATTGTGTTGGCAGTAGACAAGCGTGTTCTCAACTGCCCCACCGCCACAGAGCACGGAAAAAACGAAAGAGCACAAAAACCCGGTTTCTAGCGGCTTTTTTGGCTGGTATTACGATAAAACAAGTAAAAAAAGTCTAGGTTATCAGATAAAACCATATTTTTACAAACTAATCAATAGTGATCCTCTCTTTGCAAAATGTAGAGGCTATGACACAGCCGGGACTGAACCCAGATCGTGTGGGTAGTAGCGTGCTCCCGACTGCCCCACTCCGACAGAGCACGGACAAAAACCCGGTTTCTTGCGGCTTTTTTGGCTGGTACTGGACCAAACCGTCTAGATTATCAGATGAAGCCATACTTTTACAAACAAATGAATAGTAATCCTCTCTTTGCAAAATGTAGAGGCCATGACACATGGGAATCGAACCCGGATTGTGTTGGCAGTAGACAAGCGTGCTTCCGACTTCTCCACCATGACAAAGCCATGTCCATGGACAAAACCACAATTTTTAACGGCCTTTCCACCTGCTACTAGAATCAAACAAGTAAAAAAGTCTAGTTTATCAGATGCAATCATATTTTTACAAACTAATCAATAGTGATCCTCTCTTTGCAAAATGTAGAGGCTATGACACAGCCGGGAATCGAACCCAGGATCGTGTTGGCAGTAGACAGAGCAGTAGACAAGCGTGCTTCCGACTTCTCCACCATGACAAAGCCATGTCCATGAACAAAACCCCAATTTTTAACGGCCTTTCCACCTGCTACTAGAATCAAACAAGTAAAAAAGTCTAGTTTATCAGATGCAATCATATTTTTACAAACTAATCAATAGTGATTCTTTCTCTTTGCTTTTTCCCTAATAGTTTTATTGGGGTTATCAGCATGAAGAGAGGAGTTCTCACTGTTTTCTGATTGTCCTTTTTTTAAAAGAAAAAAAGATTAAAAGCCTACTGAAATTCCTCGCAATCTCTTAAAGAAGATTAAAAATGGACTCAGAAAATGGAATCCGGCAGAAAATACCTTTCTTTTTAAATAAAGAGTCGATTTTTTTTGATGAGAAATGAGGAAAAAAGAAGAAGTGTTCGATTTTGTGAACAAAAATCAAAATGGATTAATCAAAATTGAATTGAATGCATAGTTTGTGAGTGGCTGGCGTTTGTGAATCACACTTTTTCCTCATTCAACAATTTCTGAGCATCTGTAAAGAAATATTCTTTTGCGTGCTTGGTACTCTTCACTCAAGAGACGTTAGAAGAGCCTCCTCCCTTGAAAAGTGACAGTAAAAGTGACAGTTTTAGGGCCTAATTTAGGTCGTAGAATGCAAAAAACATGATTTCAAGACGATTTGAGCTCTCTATTAGCACGAAAAACTTGTTTGAAAAAGACAGTGGTAGAGGCTTGTAATAGACCCCTCAACCAACTTTAGACGTCTTTTTCTCAGCCCGATTTTGAGATAATTTTATGTTTAATATGTCAAACGAAAGCCCTTAATGTCTGCTATTTTTTGGTATATTAAACATAAAAATATCTCAAAAATAGGCTGAGAAAAAAGGCGTCTAAAGTTCGTCGAGAAATGGACAAAAAAAAACGAGCATTTGTTTTCTTCAAATATAAAAAGGCGAAAAGCGAAAAGCTATTGAAAAGTGACAGTTTTAGAGCCTAATTTAGGTCGTAGAATCCAAAAAACATGATTTCAAGACGATTTGAGCTCTCTATTAGCACGAAAAACTTGTTTGAAAAAGACAGTGGTAGAGGCTTGTAATAGACCCCTCAACCAACTTTAGACGCCTCTTTCTCAGCCCCATTTTGAGATATTTTTATGTTTAATATGTCAAAAGATAGCCCTTAATGTCTGCTATTTTTTGGGAAAATTAAACATAAAAATAGCTCACAATCGGGCTGAGAACAAGACGTCTAAAGTTGGTCGAGGGGAGGGCATTTATTAACTCGATCAAATTTGAACGCCTCGTTCTCAGTCCCATTCTTGAGATTTTTTTATGTTTAATATGTCAAAAGAAAGCCCATAATTTCTTCTATCTTTTGGTATATTAAACATAAAAATATCTCAAAATCGGGCTGAGAAAAGGGCGTCTAAAGTTCGTCGAGGGAGGCGGCGTTTATACGGTAAGAGCCCCCCCCCCCCCATAGGAGCGTCGCGTAGTCTAAGTTTACGGTCAAAGAATCGCTTATTTCTTGTTTCGAGATATCTGATCTCACTTGAACTAAGACAATAGCCGATTGACTCGCAATTTTTCGGCTTTTCTTGAGTTTTGAGTCTTGACTTGAGCAATTTTCATACAAAATCGACAATTGAATTAAAAGCGACGATAAAAAACAGAAACAATTTCATCCTAATTAAGACAAAACTTTTACACGATGAAAGGAAAACAGAAAAAATTAAAAACACATCAAATGAACAATAGTTTAATCGTTTAGAGAGAACGGGGTCGGCTAATTTGCGCAACTTGCCATAACTTTCTTCTAAGTCATCCAATCTTTATGGTTTTCGTATCATTTTGTTGCACTTATTGAGATCTACAAAAAGACACCAAAATCATAAAGATTGGTCGACTCAGAAGAAAGTTATGGCGTTCTTTGCTGGGTGCTTTGCGCAGCTAGGTAGCTACTTTGCGCGGCTACTTTAGCGCGACTCGCCATAACTTTCTTCTAAGTTGGCTAACCTTTATGATCTTGATGGCATTTTGTTGCACTTGTTGAGATCTACAAAATGAGAACAAAAGCATAAAGATTGGATGACTTACAAAAAAGTTATGGCGAGTTGCGCAAAAAAAATTGGCTTAAACTATCCACACCCCTCATTTTTTCATTTGTTTTCGTAAAATTTACTCGTCCAAAGCCCAAATCCCAGAAGAGGAAAGGAAAAAAAGAAAGAAGGGAAGAAGAAAGAGAGGAAGAAGAAAGATTGGAAGAAAAGAGAAAGAGAGGAAGAAGGAAGAAAAGAAAAAGAAAGGAAGAAAGAAAAAAGAAAGGAAGAAAGGGAGGAAAATAAGAATTAAGAGTTTAAAATTAGTTCCAATCATCGAAAAGCTCAAAACAACTGTTTCAGTAGCCCAATTTTAGGACAATCTTCACCGTCTCGATTCTTTACGCAGCTGGACAAGTGGTCTTAGCCATTGCATCGACAAAAGACTCATCATCGAGTTTTCATCCGTGAGTGATTCATTGATTTTAGGCTAAAAGTCTTGTATTTTGTACTAAAGATTAAATAGATTCACAATAAATCAAATAAATTGTTTGTTCGTTCGAATTGTTCCAAAGCCAAGATAGCTGGCTTTTGGCATTGTCTAGTCTAGTTGGTTTTAAAGCCTGACTCGTTAGAAGCAAGACTGGTTGGAAAAGGCCGGAACAAGGCTTGAACAAGGCTTGAACAAGGCCTGCACAAGGCTTGAACAAGGCCTGCACAAGAGCAAGGCGAGGCTTGACAAGGCTTGACAAGTCACAAGGCCTGCAAGGCTGAAGGCTGCACAAGGCTTAACAAGGCCGAACAAGGCTTGACAAGGCTGCACGACAAGGCCTGCACAAGGCTTGGACAAGGCTTGCACAAGGCCTGCACAAGGCTTGAACAAGGCCGGAACAAGGCTTGAACAAGGCTGCACAAGGCTTGGACAAGGCCTGCACAAGGCTTGGACAAGGCTTGAACAAGGCTTGCACAAGGCCTGCACAAGGCTTGAACAAGGCCGGAACAAGGCTTGAACAAGGCTTGAACAAGGCTTGCACAAGGCTTGAACAAGGCCGGAACAAGGCTTGAACGAGGCTGCACAAGGCTTGGACAAGGCTTGAACAAGGCCGGAACAAGGCCAGATCCTTCCCTAGATCTAGCTGTCTTCCCTGAATTGTTTAGATAATTCCTGACTGGCAAAGTTATCTATTTTCTAAGCGACAGGGATCTCAAAGAGATCACAATAAAGGAACTATAAAGGAGCTTTAAAGGAGCTTTAAACGAGCTGTTATGAGCCTCTTTAAAGGAGGAGTTTCCTCTGCACCTATAGCTCAGTGATAGTTTTTCCTTTTGGAAAGGTTTGCTTTCCTCTTGTGTCTTGGGTTCGATCCCCGGTGGGCGTAGAGGCTGCAGAACTTCACTAAACTGAAGGCTAGAACTTTATCATTTCCAGATGGCTTGACTTGATCGGATTGATCACAATCGGTTTCGGTACTGGTGGAATAAAGCCATGCGTGAATTCGTTTGGAGCTGATCAATTTGAGAAAGGACAGGTGATTAAAATGGCTAAAAGTAAAATGGTCAAATGGTTTTGCTAACATAACCGCATCTTTTCTGATGTAATGATGAATTGTGCGCGCCAAAAGTGATGCGTTTACAAGTTTAGCACACTGGAAATGCTAGTAAATAACTAGAAAATAGATCATTCAAAAAATTTCCAGCTGATTTTAGGTCCGAATGTTGTCTCTTTTCTTCTCGATGTTCTATTTCTCTATCAATGCCGGCTCGATGATTTCCACGTTCATTGCTCCAATTTTTCGATGTAAATAGCTTAAAGTTGTCTAGTTTATATTAAAAAATATATTTATTAGATCTAAAAATACTCTAAACTTTCACTTGCGACCTTTTTTCCGAGAAAATCCTGGATTGGCGCTTTAAAGCTTGGTAAAACTACCGTACCCCTCCTAATTTGCGCGAAATCTCATTTTTTTTCATTCTTGTTCATTTCATTTTATTCTTTTTGCGTTTTTTCAATGTTTCAACGTTTTTTCAACTAAAAATTCACAAAAACAAAGCTCCCGCCATAGAAAATGATAAAAACCACTTAAACCAACATTAGTTAGCATCAAGTTCGTGAAGCAGATCGTCAGGAAGCAAGTGGATCTAAAAAAAACTTTATAAACTAAGCTCCCGTCATAGAAAATGATAAAAACCACCTAAACCAACATTAGTTGACATCAAGTTCGTGAAGTAGATCGTCAGGAAGCAAATGAGCTTTGAAAAAACCCTATAAACAAAGCTCCCGTCATAGAAAATGATAAAAACCACTTAAACCAACATTAGTTGACATCAATTTCCTGAAGCAGATCGTCAGGAAGCAAGTGGGTCTAAAAAAAACTTTATAAACTAAGCTCCCGTCATAGAAAATGATAAAAACCACTTAAACCAACATTAGTTAGCATCAAGTTCGTGAAGCAGATCGTCAGGAAGCAAGTGGATCTAAAAACTCTATAAACAAAGCTCCCGCCATAGAAAATGGTGTTAAAAAAGTAACTTAGCTTTATCCTCTTTGTTTCCTACAAAAACAAACGCAAAGACATCAGAAAAACGCAAAAAGAATAAAATGAAATGAAGAAGAATGAAAAAAATGAAATTTCACGCATATTGGGAGGGGTACGGTAGTTTTACCACGCTTTAAAGCGCCAATCGAGAATTTTCTCGGAAAAAGCTCGCAACTCAACTTTCAGCTATGAGTTGTATGGGCCAAGACTCTTGTTATCCATTGGCTTTTGGTATTCCAGCAGTGCTTATGATTGTAGCGACATGTAAGTGGAAGAATTTAGATCTTTATCTTTATCTTTTCTAATTTATCTAGATATCTTTATCTAACCTTTGATTGATAGATCTAGATTACTCTAGAATTCGGTTTAGAACTCTAGAACTCTAGAATTAGGTTTAGAACTCTACAGGGTGCGTCATAATTATTGCAACAAGATACTCAAGGCATTGCACACCAAGAAGTTTCACTGGAAGAAGATTTTTAAACAGAAATAGCTTTATTTAACAGTAACAAATAAGGAAACAAGAGATCGTTCGATATGATCTTTGATATCCTTCGATATGACCGCCTTTTGCCTTGATAACAGCCCTTAATCGGTTCGGATATGCCTCCACTGCGGGCCGAATGTCATCTTGAGGAATCGCCTTCCATCCTTTGGTTTTGACCAAGGTTTTGACTTCTTCAAGGTCAAAAAGCAGACATTAGCCTCTAAGATTGCACAAATGGAAAAGTCCATCACATTGAGATCCGGTGAGTTTGGAGGCCATTCATCCTTGGTGATCACTGAGGGAAAGTTGGCCACACACCAGTCCTGAACCGTCTTCTTCGTGTGAGCGGGAGGCAACTAGGCAAGAATAAAGAAGATAGAACGCAATACAACAAAAATAAGAAAGCTGTTTGGAAAACGGTCTTTGAACTCTTGTTGCAATAATTATGACGCACCCTGTAGAACTCTAGAATTCGGTTTAGAACTCTAGAACTCTAGAATTATGTTTAGAACTCTAGAACTCTAGAACTCTAGAATTAGGTTTAGAACTCTAGAACTCTAGAATCCAGAGATTTATATAGAAATTGATCTTTTAGGTCTCTTCATGGCTGCCTCATTTTGGTACAAGAAAAAGCCGCCAAGCGAAAATGTGTTCGGTGTGATTTTTGGATTGATTTTTGTGAGTTTTCAAGTTTCTGGGATAAGTATTTTAAAGCCAATATAGCAAAAACATTACTATTAAGTGATTTTATTCAAGTTTAACATTTTTTAAACCTTTCTAGGGAGCGATTGGGAACAAATTCCGAGCCAGTGAGAAGAAATCGCATTGGTTGGATCACTACATGACGACACACGACTGTACAAGGGATAAAAGATGTCAAGAGATGAAATTGGAGAAAGGAAAAGATTACTGTCACAAGGTATGAAGACTATTAAGTGATTTTATTCAAGTTTAACATGATTTAAACCTTTCAGCTGCCTTTCGTAGCTGAAAATCTTTAAAATCTTATTAGCTAGCTGAAAAAGCTTTCAAATTCGTTTCAAATTTAAAAGATTGAAATTTAAAACACTTTCCATTAGAAGAAATGACTCTTTTTCAGCTTGACGGCTTAATTTTATGATATTTAATGCTTTGATATTCTTGATTTTTAAATTTTTCCTTTAATTAGTTGAAAAAAACTAAGACGATGGTGAGCGATAGATTTCAGTATATTCCTCCTAACATTTATTGCCAACAAAGCAAAGGAGCTCCAGTTCTATCATTATTTACCTTATTAACTCCAGCTCTATCATTATCTACCTAATAAAAAACAAGATTTGAAATTTAATTACAAACATTGGAGGAAGTGGGATAATCTTTTTTGCGGCAGGGTTTGGGACTGAGAATCTTGCGAATCCTGACTGAGAATCTTGACTGAGAATCCTGACGGAGAATCCTGACTGAGAATCTTGACGGAGACTCCTGACTAAGAATCTTGATTGAGAATTCTGTCTGCGAGTCCTGACTGCAATCCTGACTGAGAATCCTGACTGAGAATCTTGACGGAGACTCCTGACTACGAATCCTAACTCCAAATCCTGACTGAGAATCCTGTCTGCGAAGCCTGACTACGAATCTTGACTGCGAATCCTGTCTGCGAAGCCTGACTGCGAATCCTGACCGTTAACAAACCGAATCCTGATTGTTAACAAAGCCAAAACCTGACTGCGAATCCTGTCTGCGAACCTTGACTACAAATCCTGACTACGAATCTTGACTGCGAAGCCTGACTGCGAATCCTGACCATTAACAAACCGAATCCTGACTGTTAACAAAGCCAAAACCTGACTGCGAATCCTGTCTGCAAATCCTGTCTGCGAATCCTGTCTGCGAATCCTGTCTGCGAATCCTGAAACCAGCACACCTTATTTCGCGTTTTAAAAAACTCTAAAAACCTAATATTAACAAATTTCTATTCTAAAAGTTGTTTTTAGGTAATTTTAGAGCATAGAATTTAAATTTTGACATGGAAGCTGTGGAAGCAAACAGACGGAGTTATACATAGGGAAAAATCGACAATTTTCATTTGAAAAATGATAAAAACGATAGACTAGCACGTAATTTGAATAACAAAAAAGAGCGTAGGGAGCGCGAAAAATAAGAAATATAACCAAATTAGTATTGATTTGGATTTAGGGGCAATACGTTGACGACGTGAAGCAACTTTTCCGTGTTTTGATCATGTTCTTGCCGGTGCCGATCTTCTGGTCACTCTACGATCAACAGGGATCGATTTGGTTGATTCAAGGTTGGATTTGTTCTTTGTACTGTACGTTGTACTTTGTACTGTTCTTTGTACTGTCTTTGTACTGTTCTTTCTGCTGTACTTTGTAATGTACTTTGTAATGTACTTTGAACTGTTCTTCGTACTGTCTTTGTACTGTTCTTTGTACTATTCTTTCTGCTGTACTTTGTGCTGTACTTTGTGCTCTACTTTGTGCTGTACTTTGTACTGTCTTTGTACTGTTCTTTCTGCCGTACTTTGTACTGTTCTTTGTACTGTCTTTGTACTGTCTTTGTACTGTTCTTTGTACTGTTCTTTCTGCTGTACTTTGTACTGTTCTTTGTACTGTTCTTTGTACTGTTCTTTGTACTGTTCTTTGTACTGTTCTTTGTACTGTTCTTTCTGCTGTTCTTTCTACTGTACTTCTACTGTTCTTTGTGCTTAAAAATTGTAAACCCACACTTTCTGCCGCACTCAATCCTTCAGCTAAGACTTGAGTGCACCAGAATCGTGCATTTACATGTTCAGAGCACAAAGTACACAATAAATCTATAGCTTTTCATAATTTCTGAGAACTTTCAAAGACAATTTCAAATCTCAGGCACTCAAATGGATTGCCGTTTGTGGGGAAACGTGCTATTCATGCCGGATCAAGTGCAAGTGCTGAACGCAGTGCTAATTCTCGTTTTCATTCCAATTTTCCAAGTAAAACCAATCAAAATCAAAACCAATCAAAACTCTAATTTTAGATAATCATCTATCCAATCGCCGAGAAATTCGTTACTTTAACATATCTCCGAAAAATGGTTTGCGGGGGTCTTTTGGCGGCGGCGGCTTTTGGAGTGGCTGGCTTGGTGCAAACTGAAGTGAATGTGAGTGGGGAGATTGAAGAGATTGAAGAGATTGAAGAGAATTCAATCATTTCGATAACTAGAATAGAAAATTAGCTCTTTACGCCTTTTATTGCCAATATTGCCTTTCCAGAATTCTTTACCACTTCTACCGAAAAGTGGCCAAGCTTATGTGTCATTTTTCAACGCGATTCCCAATTGTACTTTTGACGTGAGCCCTTCAGGGAAAGAGGATTGGAGAACGCTGAATTTTGGAGAGGTTTGGAGGTTTTCAGTTCAATTTGGAAATCTAAAAGTGCTCTAAAAGAGAGAACGGAATCTAAAATAAAAGAACGAGATGATTTCAACTTTTAAAAGTTGAGTACAAGAGCGCTCCTTTGCATGCGAGAAGTCCAGGGTTCGATCCCCTGTCGAATTGCTTGTCAAATATCGCTAATCAAGAATTTATTGGATTGAATTGATTGAATTGATTGAATTGATTCAATTGATTCAATTGATTGAATTGATTGAATTGATTCAATTGATTGAATTGATTCAATTGATTCAATTGATTGAATTGATTCAATTGATTCAATTGATTCAATTGATTCAATTTATCGGATTTTTGTAGTCAGCGATGTCAACGATCGTTGACAACGATGTAGTCAACGATCTGCCAATATTCGTTCTCAATAAACCAATCATTTCACTCGTTGAAAGCCTAGAATTGCTGTAATTAAGTTTTACGGTACTGATTTCAAGTTTAGTAATTTACAATTGGAATAGTTTTACGTCAATAAGTTTACAGTTTAAGCTAAAAGTTTGCACTTTAAGCTCCTTTAGATAAAAAGCAAAACTTTGGAGATACAGGGGATCGAACCCTGGACCTCTCCCATGCAAAGCAAGCGCTTTACCACTGAGCTATATCCCCATGTGATTGGGTCTGGTTTTTAGGGATAGATTTAGCTGGAGAGCCCGAGTTTACCGTTTAAGCTATCAAAACAAAAGAAAAAGCAAAAATCTGGAGATACAGGGGATCGAACCCTGGACTTCTCGCATGCAAAGCGAGCGCTCTACCACTGAGCTATATCCCCGCTTGTTCTGACCGGTCTTTTCCGGGTTATAACCCTGGTTTGTCCGATCGTGAAACTAAAATAAAGACCATCCACCATAAAATAAAGACCAATTCAAAACGCATATGAATGTTCAAGAAAATCTCATTTTAAGGTATTGACTGTGCCAGAAAGGGTGTGTTTCCAATTATTAACCCAAAGTACACTAGAAAGAAGTGGGAAGCATTTGATTTTAGCTTTTAAACTTAATTTACATGAAAACATTTCCTTACCCTCGCAATTCCACCCCAAGTAGTCGGCTCGGTAGGAGCTAGCGGAGCATCGTCGTCTCGTTTAGACAATGAGGATTCTGGAATCAAAAGAATCACTCTAATTTAACTTAACTCTAATCTAGCTACTCGATTTCTAGTAACTCGAGTTCTAGTAAGTAGTTATAGCCAAGTAGCCAAGTACTAAGCCAATTAACATTAACTAATCAACTAAGGATAGATATTTAGGGATAGATAACGTAGATTCTAAGAAATTAAACAATTGTATGAAGATGAAGAACTGAAACAACTGTATGAAGAGACAGAATTCCGGTAGCATTTAGCAAAACATTCAATTTCCTAAAAAATCCCAATCCAAACCAACCATTTCTCGTGGTTTTCCTCCTTGTGGCCATCACCATCCTTGTAGTCGGCTCGGAAGGAGATATCGGAAGGAGTAGTCGGCTCGGAAGGAGATATCGGAAGGAGTAGTCGGCTCGGAAGGAGCTAGCGGAGCACCGTCGTCTCAAAGCGCAAAGTACTAAGCCAAAGTACACTAGAAAGAAGTGGGATCAACCAGCGCCTATCCCCATGCGATCGGCGGTGGTTTGGACGGGTTATAAGACTAAAATGAACTCTATAAAGTTTTAAAGTAAAGATTTAAAGTAAGCTTAAGCTTTAGAACTAAATTTCAGAGTATGCCTGACTTGAAAAAGACAAAAAAGCAATCGGCTCAAGAATCTTTCCATCTCAGTGCCGGATCGAATAGCTTTCAATTACGAAATTTCGTCGGTGATTGCATTTTCACGGTAAACAGAAAACTCGTTCATTTAAAATAACATTTTAATAACATTTTAATAACAAAATAACATCAAAATTTCAGCCAAATTCCCTCAAAATGGATCAACTCACTTATACTTTTAAATCAAAGAAAGTTTACCATGTAACTGTAACGAAAAATGGAGCATTGATGGGTGAAATCGATACAGATAAAGCTGAAGAAGGAACAGGAGAATTTAGCGCTGGGTAAGGCTTTGTTGATGGGTGAAATCGATACAGATAAGATTTTGAAAAGATCGAAATCTCTTTTTAAATCAAAGCTAATGTACTTTTGCTTAAAACTGCAAAAATACCTTTCCTGGTGCCAAAAGAAAATCATAACTCTGCACTAGAAACGTGTGTTTACCGTTTTAAGCACAAAGTATAAAGTACAGCATAAAGTAAGCTTTACTTTATGCTGTTCCACTCTTTCTATTGCACCGAATTCATTCCTTTCAATTGCTAATGAATCTTGAATTGCTCTAGAATCGATTTGCTATAGAAATTCTGTTTCTAGAATGGATTTGCTTTGGAAATGTTTCTAGAATGGATTTGCTTTAGGAATTCTCGTTTCTAGAATCGATTTGCTTTAGGAATTCTGTTTCTGGAATGGATTTGCTTTAGAAATTCTGTTTCTAGAATCGATTTGCTTTAGAAATGTTTCTAGAATCGATTTGCTTTAGGAATTCTGTTTCTAGAACGGATTTGCTTTAGGAATTCTGTTTCTAGAATCGATCTGCTATAGAAATTTTGTTTCTAGAATGGATTTGCTTCCGAAATTCTCGTTCTAGAATCGATTTGCTTTAGAAATTCTCTTTCTAAAGCAAATCCATTCTAGAGCAATCACCCAGAGTGTTTCTAACTAAAAAAGTAACTTGAAATAGGTTTTAGTAATAGAATTAGTTCTTTTATTTATAGTAATAGAATTTAAAACAAATAATTGTTGAATTGAAGTCAAAAATAAATCTTTTTTCAGTATAATCTATGCTTTGGATTACAAATATGGAGGAGATGAACTCGACAATTTGGTTTTCTGTCGAGGAGATACAAAACCAACAGAATGTAATCCACGAAAACCATCTGATTTTTATTAGTGAGTGAATTGAAATTGTAAAAGATTTCCTTTCTTTCCTAATTTCTTTAAACAATACCAGGTTTGTTTAAACAATACCAACAAACAATACCAGCTTTACCAATAGCTTGGTAAAGCTGGTAAAGCTGGTAAAGCTGGTAAAGCTGGTAAAGCTGGTAAAGCTGGTAAAGCTGGTAAAGCTGGTAAAGCTGGTAAAGCTGGTAAAGCTGGTAAAGCTGGTAAAGCTGGTAAAGCTGGTAAAGCTGGTAAAGCTGGTAAAGCTATTGGTAAAGCTGGTATTGTTTGTTGGTATTGTTTACTTTACCTTTACCAGCTTTACTTTACTTTTGCCACTTTACCTTTACCGTATTGCAACCGTATTGGATTTAAAAAGAACCGTATTGGAACCGTTTTGGAACCGTTTTGGATCTGAAAAGAACCGTATTGGAACCGTTTTGGAACCGTATTGGAACCGTGTTGGAACCTTCTTGGAACCGTTTTGGAACCTTTTTGGATCTGAAAAGAACCGTATTGGAACCGTGTTGGAACCGTTTTGGATCTGAAAAGAACCGTATTGGAACCGTTTTGGAACCGTAATTGGAACCGTATTGGAACCGTATTGGATCTGAAAAGAACCGTATTGGAACCTTGTTGGAACCGTATTGGAACATTCTTGGAACCGTATTGGAACCTTGTTGGAACCGTATTGGAACCGTTTTGGAACCGTATTGGAACCGTATTGGATCTGAAAAGAACCGTATTGGAACAGTATTGGAACCGTATTGGAACCGTATTGGAACCGTATTGGATCTTTCCTATTTCTTTAAATAATACCGGCTTTGTTTAAACAATACCAACAAACAATAGCAGCTTTACCAATATCTTGGTAAAGCTATTGGTAAAGCTGGTAAAGCTGGTAAAGCTATTGTTAAAGCTGGTAAAGCTGGTAAAGCAGGTAAAGCTGGTAAAGCTGGTAAAGCTATTAGTAAAGCTGGTATTGTTTACTTTACCTTTACCAGCTTTACTTTACCTTTGCCACTTTACCTTTACCAGCTTTACCAATAGCTTGGTAAAGCTGGTAAAGGTAAAGTGGTAAAGCTCAAGTGGTAAAGCTCAATTGTAATCTTTCTGATAAGCAAAAGATCAACGCTTCGAATTCCTCTTCTAAATTCTTTACCATTCATTTTTAGCATTCATTTTTACTATACATTTTACTTTAAAATGTTTATAGACAAAATTGGAATTTCTTTTGTTTAACTGAATATCTTTAAATCTTTACTTTGCCTTTATTTAACTGCTATTTAACTGCTATTTAATTGCTGTTTAATTGCTATTTAACTGCTATTTAACTGCTTGACTCAATCAATTGATTATTCTTTTTCAGCTGGGAACAAAAATATAACAAAGATGACAGTGATCTTGATGCATATGACTTTTATGATGTAAGTAATTAGCAATTTTTAAAAAATGATCATTTCTAGATTGGAAACGAGAAAAAATCAGACAAAAAATATGTTTTATACAGCTTTAAACCAGTGAAACCTGGAAAGTAAGTGAATTTTCAACGAATTTTATCCATTTTCTAACGTCTTCTCTTTTTAAACTGCCCCTATTCAGATGGTGGATCTTCTTGTTGCACGGTCGACCAAGAAGTGCCGGTTCGACAACTCCAAAGACTGTTGATGTAAGAAAAAGAATTAAAAACTTGTGAAATGAAGCTAAAATCGATTCCAGGTCACAGATTTGGATGTGAGCATCGAATTGCGGAGACAAGGTGGTGTTTATTTGTATGCGTTGATCAATGATCCGACTGCTGACAACTATACGAGTGTGAGTTAATAAAGTAAAGAAGTGATTGAATTTGATAAGTAAAGAATAAAAGAAAGAAATGAAAAAGTTTGGACACGAAGGGAGTTGAACCCTCGACCTCCCGCTTACCGTCCGATTGAGCCTCTACCACTGAGCCATCCGGACCTTCTTTCCTCAAAGAAAAATAGAAAACAAAAGGGACCAAGAAGAAAAAATCCCTTTTTAACATAAAGATTTTTCCTTCCTTTTTCTTCATTGTCCCTTTTCTTTCCTTTTTCTCCTCTGAAGAACGAAGGGGCTATAGCTCAGTGGTAGATGCTCAATAGGCCGGTAATCAGGAGGTCGAAGGTTCGATCCCCGTTGGTTCCAAAGTTTTTCTTTTTCTTTATTTTTTCAATATCTTTCCTCACAATTCTATTACAAAACCCCAACTATTAAAACCACCATTACAGCACAATTCTATTACAAAAACTATAAAGCACTAACTATTACAGTACCATTACTATCTCACCGTCTTATCTTACTGTAATTTAGTATCCCTTACTCCACTTCAGTAATCCATATTCCAGGGCGGTGCTGGCCTTAAAGTCTACAAAAACCAAGACGGAGCGCCGATTCATTTCCAAGCTGTACCGGATAACTCTGTGAATATTTTGTGGCAGGTAAGGACTTAAAAAAAAGACTTCAAAACATTATCCCAGGTTCCACAAATTGTCGTCATTACCGCAGGAGAGATTCTTTTCTCGATTACCGGCTACGAGTTCGCCTACTCGCAGGTGAGTTCGAATTTTTCGGGATTAACTCAAACTAGTCGATTTTTGATTTAACGACTCTCGATACAGCGATTTTGAAATTCTAAAATACTCCCTTGTTCTCTGCGTAGCTGCCCAGCGAAACGCAATCGTTGGACGTTCAGGGCAGCTACGCAAGAAGCGCTAGGCTTAGGTCACCGGGCGAATCGTTAAATCGAGAGTCGACTGTATTGCTTTTTAGTGTGCCCCATCGATGAAAGCTGTTGTACAAGCTGCTTGGTTGTTCACTACAGCGATTGGAGACACGATCATCGTATTGATCACTCTCTGGAGTCCATTTGACAACATGGCAACGATGTTCTTTGCTTATGCCGGTATAAATTTATATGTCGTAGCCGATTATGAATGAAATTTTTTCGTAAACCTTTCTAGTAGAGCAACCCCTTAATGTATGAGGACAATATTATATCATCCTGTAGCGAATTAAATTCTGCGTCGATTGGTACTAAATTTGTGAGTTTAGGTTAAAAATTGCCGGCGCTACAACGTTTCATTCAAAATCGGCGGGACCCCCGTAGCCGATTATGAATTTCAGCTGATTATGAATGAGTGGGTCTAGGCGATCATCTAGGAGAGCCTCCAATCATCTAGGAGAGCCTCCAACCATCTAGGAGAGCCTCCAACCATCTAGGAGAGCCTCCAATCATCTAGGAGCCTCCAACCATCTAAGAGAGCCTCCAATCATCTAGGAGAGCCTCCAACCATCTAAGAGAGCCTCCAATCATCTAGGAGAGCCTCCAACCATCTAAGAGAGCCTCCAATCATCTAGAAGCCTCCAACCATCTAGGAGAGCCTCCAATCATCTAGGAGAGCCTCCAACCATCTAGGAGAGCCTCCAACCATCTAGGAGAGCCTCCAATCATCTAGGAGAGCCTCCAATCATCTAGGAGAGCCTCCAACCATCTAGGAGAGCCTCCAACCATCTAGGAGAGCCTCCAACCATCTAGGAGAGCCTCCAATCATCTAGGAGAGCCTCCAATCATCTAGGAGAGCCTCCAACCATCTAGGAGAGCCTCCAACCATCTAGGAGAGCCTCCAATCATCTAGGAGAGCCTCCAATCATCTAGGAGAGCCTCCAACCATCTAGGAGAGCCTCCAACCATCTAGGAGAGCCTCCAATCATCTAGGAGAGCCTCCAATCATCTAGGAGAGCCTCCAACCATCTAGGAGAGCCTCCAATCATCTAGGAGCCTCCAACCATCTAGGAGAGCCTCCAATCATCTAGGAGAGCCTCCAATAATCTAGGAGAGCCTCCAATAATCTAGGAGAGCCTCCAATCATCTAGGAGAGCCTCCAATAATCTAGGAGAGCCTCCAATAATCTAGAAGCGTCCAACCATCAAGTATTTGGTATCATTCAACGCAGAATCATTAATATTTATGCTAAATTTTTAAAATTAGAAAGATTTGATAAAAAGAAAAAAAATTAGAGCAAAAAAACTGTTTGTTCAAGAGGAAACTTTGAGGCCCCATAATTTTTTTTCTTTTGATTCAATCTTTCTAATTTCAAAAATTTAACATAATTATTAATGATTCTGCGTTGAATGATACTAAATACTTGATGGTTGGACGCTCCTAGACCCGCTCATTCATAATCGGCTACGACATATATAATATTGATTGAGAATTTTTTTTTGAGTGCACTTTGAGTCTGAAAATTGTGAACGCATTGTTTCTGGTGTATTTGCTTGAGCACTAGAAAGAAATGCGTTGCGCAAAGTTCTCTAGATCAAGAAAACTTTCAGGTGTGATGGCTGTTGTGATCGTTCTTTTCGCTTTTATGTCCCATTTCTATTACGATTACAAATCCTATGTGGCATCTGGGGATGACTCGCAAAATGAGGCGCTGATAGATGATGAGGACGATTGGGGGAAAATGAATGCGGTGGGTCAAATTTTGAACTCAAAAAATTGGAAATTACCTTCCCTCGTCAAAGAACAAAAAAGATGAAAAATCGGCTTTTTTTTGCCACTTTTCAATGATCTTTTTCTAAGTGCTGGTTTATGCTAAAAATATGTGTTATAGATCAAAAAATTCCCCATTTTCTCTACTTTAATTTGATACCTGAACGAGTGAAAACAAAAGTACTAGTGTCGAGATATGAACGGTTCTTTGAGTGTCAACCTCGACTACGCGATGCGACAAAAAAAAGCCGATTTTTCATCATCTTTTTCTAAGCGCTGGTTTATGCTAAAAATATGTGTTATAGATTAAAAAATTCCCCATTTTCTCTACTTTAATTTGATACCTGAACGAGTGAAAACAAAAGTACTAGTGTCGAGATATGAGCGGTTCTTTTAGATTAGACTATGCAACCCTCCTATAGGGGGGTCTTCTATTAGAGCTATTACGATAAATTCTTGGATAAACAAAGTCTCAAGTGTAGCTATTTTCGTTTCCTAAAGATTGTGAAACCTTTGATACGCGCCTCGCCCCTTTTCCCATTAGCAATCTAACTTTGAGCTCAAATATCTTGGTGTTAAGCAGTCCGATTTCAATAGTTTTTGTACCAATCGACAGAGAAAGACTTGGCGCATCTAATGATAACAAAACCATTTAAATTGGACAGCCAAAAGTCAAGAAATTTGAGCTCAAAGTTTGTCAATGGCAAAAAGGGGCAGGGCGCACATCGAGCGCACAAAAAAGGGCAGGGCGCACATCGGGCGCTCAAAAAGGGGCAGGGCGCACAAATAAGACAAAAATGCGTTTTCTATAGGTCATTTTGTATGGGAAATTTTGTGGTACCCTGCAGTTTGGGGCTCGTAACTCGACAATCAGAGTCTAGAACAAAAAACGAGGGGATTAGTTTTATTCTAGAGCAATCACCCATTTGACCGGACATTTGATACGCGCCCGGGTGCGTATCAAATTTCCGGTCAAATGGGTGATTGCTCAAGAGTTCTTTCTTAAAACGTGGGCTTTGATAAGAGCTACCGTAAACTCGGTTTTTTGGTAACAAATCTTTTAGAAAACATAACTAATAGCAGGATTTACAAGGCTCATATGAACCATTCCAGGGCTATCAAGCCGATCACGGACAACCGAGAAAAACGAGCAATCTTGAGGAGTATTTGGATGAAGATGATCTCAAATTTTAGTTTTTTTTATGTATGATCTAGTTTGTGCAAGAATAAATGATAATTGCTTTCAATTAATCAAAAACTGATCACATGCTTTGGTTAATTAATTACAGTGAATCGATTAATTACAGTGAATCACAAAGAAATTTTAGCAATTAGTTATTTTTAGACGTTATTTGATGTTGATTTGGAGATTTGCAGAGTTTTGGATGTTCAGCGATCCTTTCTAAATGATCTTTGATTTCTAAATGATCTTTCTAAATAGATAACCGAGTTCTAAAAACCTCGTATCCATAATCGTCAGGCACATAACAAATTGCTTTCTTTGGAAATTTCCTCATCGATTCTTTGGATGCGCGAATAAAGACTTCCTTCATCAACTAAATAAAGAAAGAAATAAGCTTAAGTTTAACGATATTTTTGGGTCTATCCCAAAACAGCGCCCAAAACAGCGCCGCCAAAACAGCGCCGTACCCAAAACAGCGCCCCCCCAAAAAGCGCCGACCCAAAACAGCGCCGCCACGCCGCAACAGCCGCCGCCAAAGCCGCGCAGCCGCCCCAAACCCCAAAACCAAACCGACCCAAAACGCCGCCAAAACAGCGCCGAAAAACGCGCCAAAAGCGCCCCAAACAGCGCCGACCCAAAAAGCGCCGCCAAAACAGCGCCCCAAAGCGCCGACGCCAAAACAGCGCCGCCAAAACAGCGCCGTACCCAAAACAGCGCCGTACCCAAAACAGCGCCGCCAAAACAGCGCCGCCAAAACAGCGCCAATGAAAAACGCCCAAAACAGCGCCCATGCAAAAAAAATTATTTTTTAGATTTTTGCTTTTGCTTTTTCTTTGATGTTTTTAACTTTTTCTGCCCACTTTTGGGTAAAAAAAGGCGGAGAATCCGATTTTTTTTAAAGCTTTAAGCATAGAAACCTGCGATAGCGTTTATAAAATTGATTTTAACCAAAAATAACAATTTTTTTTGTCCTTTTACGGCCTGTTTTTTTAACGTTTTCACGAACTTTTTATTTCTACTACGGATCACTTGAAAGCTCTAGCCGGTTTATGTTCATCATCGCCAGTGTTATGATGTTTCAGAGTCACTTGGACTATTAATTTGATGCTATTTTAATGTTTTTTTTAGGCATCGTTTAATTGTTATCGTTTATTGTTGGTGGTCATGTTATTTTGAAATAAATTATCAAAATTAAAAGCTGCTAATAAGAAAAAATGAATTGTACATTGTAAAAGAAAAAAAAACTTTGTTTTGCATCGGCGCTGTTTTGGGCGTTTTTCATTGGCGCTGTTTTGGGTACGGCGCTATTTTGGGTGGCGCTGTTTTGGTCGGCGCTATTTTGGCGGCGCTGTTTTGGGATAGACCCATATTTTTACCTCAAATCTTCCTTCAGAAGATTGAAGTGCTATCAACCAGAAACATGCAGATTTCAAATTGAGCAATCAGGTTCAACACTTGGAGCCATTTTTGAACGACATACAGAAGTACCGCTAGTTGACCTTGTAAGCAGTGTCGTCTAAAAATAACAAATTTTTAGCGATTCATTGCACAATAACAAATAACGTCTAAAAATAACAATGCCATTTTTAGCACAAAATTTGCATTTCTGTCTCATTTTCCCCGAAATTTGCATTCAACTCTTGAAATAAAACCGGAGGAATCCCGGCAAAAAGTATCATTTCTTTTTCGGCTTTTCTCTCCGAATCGGATCAAATCGATTGAATGGCGCTCAACATTGAACCCCCAACAGGCATTTTCCCGGCTGCTGGTGGAGAGATCACCTTCCAAATTCACTCACTCGCTGACACCCGCCTCGCTTTCAAGGTATTTGTTTCTTGTTTCTTTTAAAGTTTTGGTTCTTTTGTTTCTTTTGTTTATTTATTTATTTTTGGCACTAGTATTTGCTAATTTGGACTAGTTTAAGTTAACTATAGAACTTAATTCTTGATTCATCACTTGATTAAGGGCAGATATTCTGTCAAATTCTTTTCATTGTTAAAGTTATCATTATGTTAGACTAGCTTTTAAAACCGTTAATCTTTTGTTTTTTTAGGTGAAATCCTCGGACAACGACCATTATCGAGTTCGACCGGTGTACGGATTTTTGGCGGCCAAGCAACAGCAATCACTGCAAATCTTGCGTCTCGAAGGATCGCCAAAGGAGGACAAATTCGTCGTGCAATGGGCCGAGGTGAGCATTTGTCTTTTGTTTGGTTTAAATTTGGAGTAGGGTGTGTTTTCTGCAGCTTGTCAACTTTCCACTTTACCGTCACTAATTTGCAATGTTTAGGTGCCCGATGAGGAGACCGATCCACAGGCTCCATTCAAGGCGGGCGCACAAAGTGGCGAAGTGATTCTGCCGGTGAAGGCCGAATAAATGACTTCTCTTCTCATCGCAAATCGTCTCTTTTCGTCCTCTTTACAAACGCTTTTCTGGGCGATTCCTCTCAAATGATGGATGAAACGATTCCAAAACCTTTGCGCTATTATTTCCCGGGAATAAATCGATCCTTTGTTGTTTGCGTAAATAAACACATGTTTCATGATGTTACTGTAAAATTGAGCACACTGCAAAGAATAGTTAAAGTCGGGAATCTTCTTGAGCAGGAGGCTTCTTTGGATTTTAAACTTTATACGATAACAATAACTTCAGACAACAATTGGTAATTTTAAAATGAAACAGTAAACAATGTGGTAAAATTAACGACAAAACGTAAATATGGATTAAATTTTTCAACGATTACAGGAAAATTTGGGGTGCGTATCAACAAGATAACAATAAAGGGGGTAAAAGCGCATAATGCAAGGGAATAAGATTCTCTGCACACCCCGTTCAACAATAAAAATAACTTTAGAATCATTTTTGCTAATACAAGAGTCATTGTTGGTGATTTGTCCGACTAGTCAAAGAACCTCTTTGGTGGAAGAGGGGGCAAAGAAAAAGCACTTGAACCGTTTGTTCCCGCAGCAACAGCAAGCTTCAGCTAAACAAAAGAATTATTAATTCTTTTTGTATTTTAAGGCATCTTACATACAAAAGTACATACAAATTCCCGCAATTTCAAGATCACAACTTAAATTACCACAAATACTGTAATTGAACGGTATCTCCTCGTTCAGTCGCGTAGTCTAACTTCTTTTTAGAAAATAATTTTTTCTCAGCCCCTAGATTTTTCCCAACTAAACTTTTGGTACCAAATTAGAGTATTTACGGCAGGCAATTAAAAACTAACCTCAGAAGTATTCTGAACCATGAAATGTAAAGGAGAGAAATCGCGATAACCCATGAACGACTTTGGAGTAAAGGAGAATTGGTTGAGTGTAGTTGCTGAGCCACGCGAGTTTGCATCGAAGCCTCGAGTTGGAGATGGAACGAAGGCGAGATTGCTGAGGTGATGACCACGGCGCTCGTACAACGTCTGATGGAGAAGCCTTTGCTAAATTTAATTATATTGCATCAAGTTATTAGTTAAGCATAGTTTAAATCAAGAGAACAAGCTTACTTCCTCCAAATCCAAAGCGTTACTCTTGGCCCGTTGCAAGTTCGTCTCTGTCTTCTTGATCCATTGACAAATTTGTTCATCCAAAGCTGCATCTGACAAGGATGGAGCCTAAAATTAGACAATTATACAGAAAAAAAGATTTGGTTTACCTTTTCGGCGCGACTAACCTTGACGGGAGCATTGCGAAGAGTGAGAAGGGTTTTATGACTAGCCAGCGCTTCATTCGTTTTCAAATTGGACAGCGACTGCTTGTAAACGGGCTTTTTATAAGCCAATACATCGTTGAACATCTAAATAATGATTATCGACTGGTGATCGATGTAAACACAAACAAGTGGGCGCGGAGTGGGTTCCTTCTTCTCCAAAAGTATCTTCTTGGTGGTCAGCATGTACTCTGCGCTATCCATGGCCAAGTTGCGCCAGCCTTGTACGTCGTTTGGGTAAAACTTGCCTGTGGCTGGGTCCTAAATAAATTGTATAAATAAAGTTTTAATACCAAAACCAACTCTTTCCTTGAGTTTAAGCATTGTCTTGCCAGTGACATAATTTGCAGCAACATTGTTAGTTTTCTTCGCCTAAAAGCAAGGCATTTAAATCATTTGTGGGAATTTCGAACTAGTTTAAACCTTTCTAAAGTACAAGCATTCAAACCTCAACATTGGATTTGAGACGGAGAATAGTTTTCCCGGTGTCAAGTGGCTGCATGTAACAATCTCGAGCGGCATTGTTTTTCTAAACGAAACAAAAGATAAACTAAGCGAATTTCAATAACCTCTGATTGCTGAAAGAATGACCTCTTCTGATAGCTGCCGCCCATCATATCGTAATCCTAAAGTACGCAAGAATTAATGAGCAAAAACCATGCAAACCTTCTTTGGAATGAAAAACATGGTTGACTTTGGTGAATGGCACAGTTTTGGCCTTGCTCGTCGACAAATGTCGATTTAAAATAGATGCTAAAGTATAGAAATTGATTAAAAGAAAGAAAACACAATAAAAAAAATCGGTGCTATAGTAGTTGGGGGGGGACAAAATTTTTGGTACTACGACAGTTCGAGCGGCCAATTTTTTCTTCAAAAGTGTTTTTCTAGAGCATTTTTTTTGCGTAGATTACGAATTTCATAGTAGGAGCTTGGGAAAATGCGTTTTAGACCGACTTTTAGAGGCTTGAAGTCGTCGTCTCTATAGTGAACTTTACTGTAACGTTCCTAAAAGGGCTCAAAAGGAGAATTTCAATTTTCTCAAAAGAATTTCACAACTTTTAGCAACATTTATAACAAATAGAAACAAAATGTCAACGTGTCAAAAAGTTACCAACGAGGACATGACTCAAAACAACGGGTAATTTTTGACCACTTCATCCCAGTACATTAGGTTTTCAGTACATTTGTTATAAACGTTGTTAAAAGTTGTGAAATGTTGTGTGAAACCATCACCAATCGATTCAGCATAGTCAAAAACCCCTGGCTGCAAAAAATCAGCTCATTTCGCGAAAACAATTTTGCCCCCTCCCCGCAACTACTATAACCCCGAAAAAATCTACAACTGCAGCAAAATTCTTATCGTTAAGCATTAATTTCATCGCTAAATAGGCATTTCAACTCCAAAAAGCTTCAATTACAGCACATTGTTATCATTAGGCACTAATTTCACCGCTAAACAATCATTTTATGAGGTTTTTCCGTAAGAATATGCGGAAAACCGTTAAAAATTGGGTTGGGATGAAAAAATTCCAATGGTTGTGGACTTTCGCAAAAAAGGAAAAGTTTTGTGACTATTGTTACTGGGACACAATGCGACGGTGTGATTGATTAAGTGCTTTTTAGAATTTATACCCTGTTGTTAGCTTGTTCGGGTTTTAAAATCCTTATACCCAATTAGAACAGCGTTTTTGGTAGTTTTTCTCACTTTTGCTTGGTTTTTTTTAACTTTTAAAAAGAAAATACTTTAAAATTCACTGCGTTTCCCTTTTTCTCTCTCTTTCTTTGCTTTGCGTTGTGTAGTTTTCTCTCGGCTCTCCTTTTCTCTCATTTCTATGTCGTAAACAATTTCAAAACTCTGAAATATTTTTATTCAATGAAATCTTCAGCACTCCGATACGCCAACAAGATGTTACCGATGTTTGGAGAGAAGGCTGGGATGCAAGGAGTGGATAAAGTAAATGTTTCTGAATCTAAAGTGATCAAGATTTCGTTTGAAGTTTTGTAGTTATTGGTTTTATCATCTATCTTTATAATTTTCGATATTTTAGGAGAAAATCTCGAAAATCATCGATGAAAACACCGGCCAGAAGTTCAGCGCCTTCTCAAAGAAGAAACAGGACCGAATCGATAAAAGAAACGCGGAAATTAAACGAACCTTGGAGAGTTTGGGAGAAAAAGATCTTCAACGTTTGGAAAAAGAGGTTGGACATGTTTAGAGTATTGAAATTTAAAGTTTATTGGACTTATTTAAAGTTTAACAAGATTTAGCGATAAATAACAAAGATTGATAGTGTCAAAAGCCTGTTACGCTTGAGCAAAAAGGCAACTGTTAACGTTTTTTTTCATTAAACTTTTTCTAAAGACCTCAACGAGTAGCTATCATTAACGGAATTTCTTTAATTTGTGCTTATCGCAAAGAGCCTTAACGACAACCATTAACCAAGCCATTTTAGGTAGATAAACAAGTAGCCGCTTTGGAGAAAACGCGGGATTTAACTCGTCATTGTGTTCACATCGATATGGATGCTTTTTTCGCGGCAGTTGAGATGCGAGATGAACCCCGACTCAGAACGATCCCAATGGGAGTCGGAAGCTATCAAATGCTGGTATTTTTGTGCTTTGAACACTTTTTATTTTTATTTTAGAGTACATCAAATTACATTGCGCGAAGGTTCGGTGTTCGAGCGGCGATGCCAGGTTTCATTGCAAAGAAGTTGTGCCCCGAGTTGGAAATCATCGCTGGCAACTATCGCAAGTATGGAACGGAAAGCAGGGTTGGTTTTATAGAGCTGGTTTTCTTAATAAATATTGCAGATATTCTCAAAGATATTTGACGAATACGATCCGGATACGAGTATGGGGTCACTAGATGAGGCGTATCTTGATATAACCGAATACGTTAACGATAGGGAACAACCAAGTGCGTATTTTTGTCGCTTGCAAGTCATTTTTTCTAGAAACCTACGCTCGAATTCGTTACTCTGGTGAATGCTCTTGTCGTCTACCATATATTGATGTCGAGGAATTAAAGAAAGAGTCCAATCCAAATAAACAATCGCCGTCGAAAAACCAGGGTGCAGATGATACGTAAGTTTTTAGTTGAGTTAACTTAATGTTTCGTTTATTTAGACTGCAGAAAATAATCCACTCAAAGATGTTGTGCTCAAAATGCTCCAAAGAAAGATGGATCATCCAAGATCAAATATCTTTTGGAACAACTCGCGGAGATGTAATTTTAAATATAAAGAAGCGATATAAACCTTTTCGTTAGATTGTTCGAGAGATTCGCTTCCGTGTAGAGCAAGCAACTGGTTTAACTTGTAGTGCAGGTTATATATATTTACGTAAAACAAAAACAAGCTTTTTGTTTAGGTATTGCCGCAAATTTCATGTTGGCTAAGATTTCCTCGGACTTTAACAAACCGAATGGACAATATGAATTGGAGAACGATCGCGAGAAAATCATCGATTTCTTAAAGGAGCTTCCGATAAGAAAGGTTTTAAGATTGGGCATTAGTTTTTTTAGATATTTTACAGGTGAGCGGAATCGGAGGGGTCAGCGAGGCGCATTTAAAAGCGGCTGGGATTAGTACAGTAGGTATAGCTAGCTAGGAGTATTTTTCACGTCTACTAATCTTTAGGTGATATATGGGCACGTCGAGTGGTGCTGCCTACGATCTTCTCCGCTATTTCAACGGAAAGCTTTTTGCGGACATCAATGGGATTGCCGCATAGACCATCAACGTCTGATGATCATCGAAGAAAGGTTTGAATTTGAAGTGTTACGGGCTTCTTGCTTAATGATCAAGCAAACTAATAAAAACTTAGTATTTCGTAAGCATTTTAGCGTTACTTTATTGTTATTTTAGTCTATTTCCGTCGAAACGACTTTTCAACCAACCGGCGATGAAAAGAAATTGCGAGAAAAGTTGCGCGGTTTGTCTGAGGAATTGGCCGGACAACTACCGAAGGCGCACATTTGTGGAGGTTTCAACGTTGGAATCAAGGTAAGCTTTTACAAGTTACTACTTATATTTTACCCCTTGTAGATTAAATTAGCTACTTTTGATGTGCTGACTCGAGCAAATACTACGGACAAACTAGCTTCAAAAGGTTTTCCTTAGAAAAGTGCTGGTTTATTTCGTTTATTTTTAGGTGACGAAATTTACAAAATAGCCGAAACATTGCTCGAAAGAGAACTTGGAGTGGATATTCGTTTGTTAGGGGTGATTCTCAGTGTATAAGACTGTAATAAGTTTATTTTAGGTACGCCTTTCGAAGCTAGAATTTGTGGAAAACGAAGTGAAGGAAGATGAGAAGAAGAAAGGCTCACGGATCGTTGATTACATGAAGTCGCCGAAAAAACAGGTATTAATCCATAAACTTTTTGCCCTAATAACCTTTCTAGTCGACCTCAAAAGATGTAGACACAATATGTATGAGCTCTGGTGATGAAATTGGTGATTCGGATGGCGAAAACGTGGTAATTCATAGTTTGATTGGCAATTCATTGCGCTTTTATAGGCAGCCCGGTGTCCTTTATGTGGTCAAGAATTACCAATCGATGATGAACGAGCGGTCAATGCACACCTTGACGAATGCCTGAACGCGGATTTGCTGAAAACTCTGGAAAACGGGCGATTGAGCAACAGCGCGAAAGAAACGAAGAATATTGCAAAAGGAGGCAAATCGAAATCAAAGGTTGGATCTTACTTTAAAGTGTTTTCACTCCAAATTTTAGGCTCCGAATACCAAGAAGGTAACCAAGCGCAAGAGTGACACTCAAAGTATAACCACGTTTTTCAAGAAAGGAAAATGAAATTCATTTTTATTATGCATTTGATAATTTTGTTTAGTTTTGTGCAAAACGGATAGTCGTCAAATTTTTATTCTTGTACTTCAAAAATCACTTGATTGTTGAATTGTTTTGTGAATGCATTGCATAGATTGTATGTTTTTGCTTAAGAAATAAAATCTTTTCATGCAAGTGAAAATTGCTGATATTTCAGTTACCTTTATCAAATATTTTTTTCTGTCTGATTTCAAGTTTCTGTGTAGATCCAATTGAACTTCAGCCTGTCTTTCAACCGTCTTCAAGAGCATTGTATTGTCGCGTATTTCCTATCCTATTCTGTCATTTTTGCGCGGGTACTCAAAATTTCATTTGAAATGGACACGGTGGTGTTTTCATCACCAAATTAAATTTCAAACTTTGCTTTTTAAAGCTTTCAATATATCAATCTTTTAATTTACTTACAATTGGTTTAATTTAGGGATCAGATCGCCGGTGAAATGGAACTGAAATTTGCAGTGAAACAAGCGTATAGAGTGAGTATAAAGATTTTTTGCTGGTAGTTAAGTGTAGAGTTTAAATTTGTAGAAATTAAATAGCAGGTTGTATTTTAATAAACTTTACTTTAGCCAACACCACCAAAAAGGCCGCTACACGACGATGATAAGGAGAATCGGGTGAAATCGAGCGATATTGGAAAGAATACAGCGAGGATCCCTTTTAAGGTTGGAAAGGTTTTCTGAAAGAAAAAATGTTAGCTTTTTTTAGAGATTTGTGATCGACGATGGTGAATTTCGAACCGGTCATCCTTTACGAAACGTCTGTATAGCGATCGATGTTGAGAATAAGTTTGTGCTTTTTCTTATCAATCTGTGAAACGTTGACAATTTTATATGGCACTTCTAAAATTGGTTTTCAAATAAAAATCCAACAATTTCTTTTTAGAAAAGCATCTTCCTCTCTCCAAGCCGACATTCAGAAACTCGGTGGCCAAGTTGTGTATTCGATAAACGATGAACCGTCACCAGTCTTGGTTAGAAAGCTTTATAGCAACAACGTTAATGATGATTAGGTAACTTTAATTTTAGCTTGTCTCCGATCACTCACTGGCTGAGAAGCTCGAAACGTTGCCGGATCCTCTAAAACAGCTCAATGAAGCGGTTAGCTATATTTTTAGCCTCACTTCAAATCAAATTTTAGAAACTACGCTCCCTTCCGCCAATTTTTCGCAATGCATGGAAATTGAGCATTCGTGTTCGCTCGAAAAGCTCATTCGAGAAGATTTTGGATTCGGTGAGGCTTAGTTAAAATAATTTCATCTAACTTGATGTTTTTAGATAAAATCTCGAACTCGGGTAGCGGTGAAGAAGAAATTCGGTGATGGTGGAGAACAAGTAAGCATTTGTACAACTTTTTTACAATTTTAAAAGTTTTAGCAAGACGCAAAAGCTGGTCCTATTAAAAGACCGTTTGTAAAGATCGATTTCGATCCGGAGCCTGAGCCAAGCACAAGTCAGCAGTCGCAGAAAAAGGTTTGCTTTTACTTTTCAAATTTTTTTTTTGACATAGTTTTCTTTTAGTTTAAAGCGATGCACTATCAACCAGCATTTGAAGAATTTGAAAAAGACGATTTTCCGACGGTTTGTTCATTTTCAAAATGGATTCTTATTTCATTTTTCAGATTTACCTTGGTGAGTATACGGGCGAGTCACTTTTTGAAAAGATGCAGCCGATCCCTGAACAACTCATCAAACCGTAAGTTTTTATTAGAGTTTTACTGTAAAATCTTTTTTCAGATCTATTGAGCCTGATTTGAGTCAGAAGTTTGAAGAATTAAACGATTCAGCGTGCAGTAAAGCGTTTTTAACGGATGGATCTGAGAAAGAGGTGAGGATTTGTGACGGATTTGAACAAAAAAATTTTAGGTTCATTGTGAACTTTGTAATGTGAAAGTTTCACCGACGAAAAAGGAACAAGTAAGTGGTTCAGAAAAAAATATAATTTACGTGGTTTAGCATTACTCTTCTGCGACTCATCTCACGAAGACACTTGCTCCCGCAACTTACAGTGCTTTTGATGAGTTTCTGGGCGTACGAGAAGATTATGCTGGTCTAATAAAAGTAGGTTTCAAGATACAGGCTTCAATTAACTCTACGATTTCAGCTGCCTCCCAGCATCCCTCAACGAATTTGGCCAACTACGAAAAAAAATGAAAATTTATGGAAAGAAGCAAATGATTTCGATGGATGGCTTCAAAAAATGGCCGGGAACAGCTCAACGGAGGAGGATGACGAGCATGGATATTTAGACGATTTAAGGATTTTGTGAGTTTTTAATATACATCTTTAATTTGCCAATTTTAGTTTGAATTCACAACAACAAGAATTGTTTCCAATGTCTGATTCTGCGCAAATGCAAGGGGATTCATTTCTGGAGAAATCATACTCAATGGTAGAGTAGTTTAAGCAACAACTCAATAGTTTTCATTTAGTCCGATTGTGAAATACAAGCTGATGATGAGATGTTCGTTGATCAATTCTCGGCACAAAGTATCTCCACCGAGAAAAAGGCATTTGAAGAGAAAGAATTAAAGTAGTTTTTCTTTGTTTGGCATTAATTAATCTTTTTAGGATACCTTTGAGCTCGGATGATGCCAAATTGCAGCCAGCCATTGACCAGGTGATAAAGAAGACTTGGCGACAAATCCAAGAGGTAAATACAACTTATCTTTCTTAGTTCATTTAGGGAAAGTTTGGTTGATTACCTTTGTTTGAACAGGCTCCACCAACCATGAAAACTATTTTCTCGTTTAGACATCCAAGAACGAGCCCGATTGCGCCCAATTCATAAAAACTTTATGCTTTGTTGACGATATGATGCAAAATGTTAGTGAACTCGTCGAAAACACTAGTCCAAGAGAAACGGACGCTTGTATAAACGTGGGTTCAGTTGTTGGAGCAAGTATTAACTGTTTACTTCAGATGTTAGCGAAGCAAGGAGTGCGTAGTACTCTTAATGAGTTCACAATGTTGGCGCATAATCACGTGCCAAGTCTTGTCGATGCAATGAACTCGAAAGAGGTTTGATATAAGAGTTGAAGCTTTTTTTGTTAACGAATTTAACGATTGCCCATTTTTAGTTTGACAAAAAGATTCAAATCGATCGTCAACCAGTCGAAAACAAATTCGGGGAACAGTTGCGAAAAACGATGGCCGAACAAGATCATCCCGCTCGAACACAACCCGATTTTGATATCTATAAAGCATTTTTTATTTGATTGAGTCTTTTTACTTACTTTTTTGTACAAAGTGCGAGTCAATTGTGGCTCTTAAAATTCTTATTTTTGCTAGGTTTTTACAATTTGCGGGTATATGCGTTGCTTTGTATTATGCTTTACCTGTTACGGAGAATAAAATGATTTTGACAGTTATTTTGTGAGAAATGCGATTTCGATTCAATTTTGTACGTGAAATGGATAAGAATTTTCCTATTTGCATTTTAACATAACCATTTTCTAAATTGCTCTATAAAACATGTAAAGTTTCGGTCTTATGCTACTACGGGTCGAGGCCTCAAATTTTGTACGACACAAACGTTTATTCGAGCTGAATGAATCGGGTCTGTTTAATAGTTTTGTCTTTTAAGTTCTTTTAGGGATTCCGAGTTTTATTCTATAACTTCAAGAGGTCTCCGTTGCTCATCTTTTCATCAGGAATTAGTTTATGGTTGTTGCTTTTTTGCCTGTTTTGTAAAAAGCTCTTTTAGTGCCAAACAGTGCAACAAAGCAAAAACGAAAACCGGATTGGCGTTGGATCTTTCAGCACAATACAAGAAGTACGATCTACGAGAACATGTACTCGCTCGACCCGATATGTACGTGGGAACAAAGGAGATTTGTCAGAAGGTTAGTCGATTGGTTTGGCAAAATGAAATTTTATTTAGGCCGAATGGATCCTCGATGGAAATGAAATGAAGCAAGAAGTTTTAACATATCCACCTGCATTATTAAAGGTATTTTTAATGCAGTGAGCTTTAAAAAAGTTGATTTAGATCTTTGACGAAATTTTGGTAAATGCGGCCGACAATAAGCAAAGGTCTCCATCGATGAGAGCAATTCGAGTGAATGTTGATAGGTGGACATTTTATCTATTTATTTTAATAAAAGAAAGGCTTTTACAGTAGTAGAATTTCTAGAAAAGAAGGTTCGATCACCGTTTGGAACGATGGAGCTGGACTGCCGATTCGCGAACACCCAGAAGAGCACATACCAATTCCGACATTGTTATTTGGACATCCAATGGTGTCATCACATTACGATGATTCTAAGGAAAGGATCGTAGGTAGATTCTTGGCCTTTGACGAAGTTCTAATATCAAATTTCCAGGTGGTCGTAACGGTTTTGGTGCGAAAGTTTGCAATATTCTATCATTAAAGTTCACCGTTCGAACGGGATCGAGATATGACAAAAAGTTGTTTGAACAGGTCACTTTTAGAAAGCAATCACAAAACTCTTCGTTTATAGACTTGGTTAAAGAACATGGGACAACCGCAAGAACCATTGATTACGGATTATACTGGCGGCGATTTTACCGAGGTTTAATTGAGTTAAATAATTTTGACAAAGCACTACCTTTTTAGGTCACATTTCAACCTGATTTTCAATGGTTTTGCGTCGATAAATTAGAGGAAGATGTAGTCAAATTGATCTACAGACGAGTTGTCGATGTGGCTGCGACGTCAAAGGGTGTTGACGTGTTTTTCCAAGACGAGAGGATTGAGGTTTATTTAAAAACCGAATTTCAATACGTGTCTTTAGTTGAATTCATTCTCCAAGTATGTTCATATGCATCTCCCTGAAGGCCTCACCACATTTCGACAACATCCTGATGAGTAACGATAAATGTTTTTTTTAAAAAAATTTCTTGATTTTAGACGATGGGAAGTCCATCTTGCGCCTTCTTTGGACAAGAATTTTCAGCAAATCTCCTTTGTTAATAATGTGAACACTACAAAGGTAAAGTTGAGCTTGTTTGTTTTAAAATAGTCGGATGTATGACTGGTAGAGTTAAATCAATAATTTCAGGGTGGACGACACGTTGAGCACGTCATGTCACAAGTTGTAGAAGCAATCCGGGTGTTGCTCGAGAAAAAGGGAAAGAAAGGAATCCGATCTGGAACGGTGAGGGAATGGACATTGAAAATCAACCGCTTACTTTAGATCAGGTCGCACCTATGGCTTTTTCTGAACTCTATCATCGAGAATCCGTCATTTCAAGCACAAACAAAGGTGCTTTTAGTTCACTTTTATTTGAAGTACAATCATTTTAGGAAGAACTTGCAACGGAAGTGAAAAAGTTCGGCTCAAAATTTGTGCTCAACGGACCGGCAGTGCAAAAGTGGGCCATTCAAGCGGGAATTATCGAGGAGATCCTTTCTGGAGCTGAAGATAAGAAAGTTGGTCTAGATTTTGTAAAAGTATCATAGTATTTAGAGATCAAGTCTTCGTGCTCGAGATTTAGCTACGGAGATCCCACGGCTTGAAGATGCCGAGGGAGCTGGAAAAAGCAAGAGTATGTATCCATGTTACCGATCTTCCAGACTTGAATAACTTTTTTAAAATTAGGGCAGGAATGTACACTAATCATAACGGAAGGCGAATCAGCTAAAGCTTTGGCAATAGCAGGATTAGAGGTAACTTGCTTTTTAACAAGCGGAGCTATTTGAAAACGTTTAGGTGGTCGGCCGAGAGCTTTATGGAGTATTGCCGATACGGGGGCGCTTGATCAATGTAAAGGACAACACTGAAGAAAAGGTCGAACTTGAATTATACATGCATCATTTTAGAATATCGACTTTTCTTTTCAAATAAGTTTTTTTAGGTATTTGCAAACGACGAGGTAAAAGATCTTTGTACTGCACTTGGATTGGAACGTTCGCTTACATATTCGACACCTCAGGAAAGAAAACGATTGCGGTACGGTCGGCTACTTCTATTTGCGGATCAGGTATTATATCTTAAAAGTTTTATCTTAATAGAGGATTTTCGGTGAATGTTATTTTTAGGATGAAGATGGATCTCACATCAAAGCTCTTGTGATCAATTTAATACAGCACTTTTGGCCGGAACTTTTGCGAAATGGCTTTATTGCTAGTTTTGTGACCCCACTCATAAAGGTATCGGTATAGAAAAGGAGTGGCTTAAACTGTTTAATTTCAGGCAAGACTTGGAAACCAGATCGCTAGTTTCTATTCAAGACGCGAATTCGATGAGTGGGCACTGAAAACGGCTGACCATGCAAAATGGACGATCAAATATTATAAAGGACTTGGTCAGTGTATATACAGTATATTTTAAATCAATTATACAGGAACCTCAACGTCGAAAGAAGCGAAGGAATATTTTTCGAATCTTGATTCACATGTTATTCCTTATCGGTATGAAAAATTCTTAAAATTTGGGAAATTCTCATTTTAGATGGGAGGAGGGCGATGATGCAAAATTTGATCTGGCATTTACGAGAAATCGAGCAGCTGCAAGAAAAGAATGGATTCTGCAACGAAACCAGGTCGAGTTATTTTTTGCCTTTTTCACACAAATACTCTTAGGAGACAAACGATTTGGAAAATCCGCTGTCAGAAAAACTGAAACGAGGCGTCACTTTTTCCGAATTCATCGATGATGAACTTTATCAATATTCGGTGACAAGTTTGAAGGTTAGTCATAAAATTTTTTTGATTTTATTTTTTATTTTAGAGATCGATTCCCAGTGTTATGGACGGGCTTAAGCCAAGTCAGCGAAAAGTGAACATTTGAAAAGTTTTTTATGTAAAGCTTTTTAGATTCTTTACACTTGTCTCCGAGGACGTGATGGGAGAAAGGAGTGGAAAGTATCACAATTGGCTGGCATGGTTGCTCATAGGCAATCTTATCATCATGGAGAGGTAGTAAAGATGTAATCCACTACACTACACTTGTAGCGGGTTTTCTTTAGGACTTAGTCAACTCAAGGTCAAAGTTGCGTTTAAGGCAGCTCTCGAGTCAGCAATCGTTCGTTTGGCGCAAAATTTTGTCGGCGCGAATAATGTGCCTTTGCTGCTTCCGGTGGGACAATTCGGAACTCGAGCTGAAGGTGGAGATGATGCAGCGTCTGCGAGATACATTTATGTTCAAATTAGGTAGATACTGTACAGTATTGTAGTATTTTTTGATGTTTAAGTTTAGTCCAATCAGTGACAAACTCTTCCCCGCCGCCGATGAGCTGAGTTTAACGCTGACGGAAGAAGAGAATCAAAAAGCGGAGCCGAAATGGTATTTTTATAGTTTTCCTGTAAATTTCTTATTGTAAATAGGTTGTGCCCATTGATTCCGACTGTTCTTCTAAATGGATGCGATGGACTAGCTACAGGGTGAATTTAATGAGTTTTTATAATACTCTTGGTGTGTTTAGCTGGTCAACGAGTGTCCTCTCGTATCGACCAAATGCCATCATCAACAATGTTCGTCGATTGATTGAAGGGAAAGAACTTGAAAAGATGGTAGGCATTTCAAAGCATAATATAATCAAGTACTTTTTGAAGGTCGGCTTCGATAAGTAAGTTTGTTTAGGAGCCATGGTTTCGGGGCTTCAATGGCCAAACTTTTCCCACATCTCCCGATTATCGAGCCTTCAATGTTCTTGGAAAGATTCAAACTTTCAGCAAAGTAAGTTGTTTTTGGATTCTTGTAAAAAACATCGAGTTATCGAGTTGGTGCAGGATAAGAATTTTGTTCACGTGAAAATCACTGAGTTGCCCCTTGGTGTTTGGACGCAACACTACAAGGAGAAAGTGCTTTCGAATCTGGTTGAGAAAGGATACATACGGTAATTGTTGAACAAAATTTATCCAAATCCCTGTTTTAGAAATCTTTCTCAAAAGCATACCGAAAATTCGGTGCATTTCGATTTCGATATGATGAAGGGGTACATTGATGTGGATGACGAGAAGAAGTTGATTTCGACTTTTAAGCTATCAACCATAGTGTCAGCGAGGAATATGGTAGCATTTTACGGTTAATTACTGGGTACTCATAAGCTGCCCAATAAAGCTCGAAGTACTATTTCTTATTTATTTAGGTCCTTTTCAATCCATCACAAAAACTGCATCATTATCTGAACACTGATGAAATTTTTCACGATCATTTTGTTGAAAGGGAGCGCTTCTATAAGGAAAGGATACAACGGGAGATCAAACGACACGAAATTCGATTGAAGACTCTTCAGAATCAGGTGGGGT